CTTTTAGGGTGACCAATCAAGTGCGTCCGTCGTCCGGGCGTCCGTCCACATTTTATTGAAACAACATCTTCTATAATACCACTTGGAAAATATTTATAAAACTTGGCATGAATACTCTTTGTATGAAGCTCTATCAAGATTGTTCAAAGAATGCCATTCCATGCTAAACTCTGGTTGCTATGGCAACTAAAGAAAAACCTAAACGTTCTTATACTTCAAAATGGAAAGGGCTAGAGCTTAGATATTTCTCACAAGGCATTAGCTTGTTGGTTTCTACAAAGTGTATTCAAATTATGGTCTAGAGTTGAAAATTGGTCTCTGTTTTGGGAGTTAAAGGTTTTTTTTTATTGCAAGGTTATATAGACTTTCTTTGTAGGGATAAATTTAGATAGTGTATCTTGTATGTGTTGTCTCAACAGACATTGTTATGAAGAATTTTCTGTAAAAGCATAAGAAAGATGAAAAGTTTGTTGAATGTGAATGTTAATTCAAAACAGAGTCAATCAGAATAGCACAAATTTGAGAGCTACAGTGAAGTTGATTTCCCCATTCTTCCATTAATTTCGTAACATCATCAGAAAGGAGACTGAGTCATTTCCGAAAAACAATGTAACAATGTAAAATATTTAAGTTCTTGACAATGACTTGCACATATTATTGTGTAATATATTGCACAAAGAAACGAAAGTGGACAAAAATGTTGTATTTTTTCACAAAAATTAGTTGATTAAGATAAAAGTTTAATTTACAGTACGGATATTACTTTGATACATCCTTCCGGTCTGCTGGAAAAATTATACATTTCAACAGCGTCTACATCGGTCTTACTGATGAACGAATTATGTCATAATATTTCATTCTGAGAACAAACATACGATTCAAATCATTAAATAATGCATACCAATCAGTACATAAAAACTTTGCCTCAGAAAACATCTGTATCGAGTTGAGATTTTAAATAGAACTAAACCAGAAGTATGACGAAACACCGCCATGTGGTTCAAGTCACGTGACCTTTTAGCGTAATGGCCGCATAAATATTGGAAAATCTACGTTTTTGTAACAGCTGGCTTTAAAATAATTTAATCATTATTAAATAAATAAAATGCACAGATATTATGATTAATCATTACTGTTTGTTGTGATATAAGTTTTATTACCCTGACCCGTTAACGGACCATTTTCCCACACCCATTGTTTACCGTGAATAATCAGTAGACTGCAGCACGAACAGCGCGAAATCAATTAATTGGATTATATTTGTGATTATTAAATGAAATTTTTTAAATGGATTAAAACTTGTTGTGTTAAGTTAAATGATATAAAATAAATTATTAAAAAAGAAAATGTGTCTTTCTTCCACTATCTTGGATTATAAAATAAAATTAAAAGGAAATTCACGACAATTTAATTGTTTATTCTTTTATTTGTATTTTTTTCTTTTTAGATATTGTCATCCTTGCTATATACTTACGCTAATTACAGGCCGGATAAATTTTTTCTTTGACCTATATTAGTCGTTATATATATTATAATCAAAAATGTTAAAGCCAAATATTAAATGATCTTACTTGAAATGTTTTTGGAAATTTATTAGTAAAACAATTTACATATAAGGTAGATGAAGATCTATGTACTATATATTTTATCAATTAATTTCCTATGTAATTTGGTAAAATGCTCAGTGTAAATGCTAAATTTTATAAACTTAAGCAATATTGGTGAAAATATCAATTGTTTTTCATATGTATGATATCATGTTTAATAATATTCTTTTCTTTTTTTTCTTTTGAAATCAATTGTTAACAACAGTTAGATCTACTTCATCTACTATGAATTTAATTAATGCATGTTAACAATTTAAAATTGGTATATTTCATGTTTTTATATGACTGTATGATATCATGTTTAATAATATTCTTTTTTTAAAAACCAATAACAATAGTTACACCATTCACTATGAATTGAATCAATTCATGTTAACATCTAAAAATGGTAAATTTTATGTTTTTTTACATGTATGATATCATGTTTAATAATATTTTATTGTTCGAAATCAGTAACAACAGGTACACTATTCACAATGGATTGAGTCAATGCATGTTAGACATTAATTTTAATGGTAAATTTCATGTAAACTGCAACTGCCTGTTAAAAATCTTTATTTAATACTGTACATATTTGTATATATAGTTTATTGCTATCATAATTTATTATTAACTGGTACTAATTATTGTTAATACTCAGTTTTATATATAATTTTTGATGCTCTGAAAATTTGATACTTGATATTAATCAGACTGTACAAAGAACAATGATTGAGTACATACTGCACATGTACTGTAGTAATATCTACATTTATCTATTAATGAGGACAAGTCTACAGAGCTATTTTCTTTTTTTCTTTCTTTTTGTAAAATAATGACCCATCCATATGACAGTCAGTTATATAAATATTTGAAAACTTTATATGTAAATAAATGAATTATAGATTCTACTTTGAAATTTGTAAAGAAGATAATACTTATTTAAAAGCATGAATGAAGATGATAATAGTGTATACCAGTAACAGATATATCTTCTGTATTTCCTTCATATAGTTGTTTATTTTTAAGTTACTTAATTACCGGCTTAATTGAACCTAACTGACCTTAATTAAACTGTAATTAAGAAGACAGTACAGAAAGAAGACCTGTAGCGAGGCAAAGCCCTTAATATTTCAATTTCGTTTAAGGGCTGGTCAAACGCACACCGTTTATGACAAATGAGGGATATTTGAAAATATTAAAATTCCCACCCTTATCAGATAATTCACAGCAATTATAAATGCATAAGGGGCCGGGGAAATCCCCTTTAATTCTTATGTTTACAAAATAAAACCAATATTTACTCACCCTTCCCGTCACATTCGTAAATTTTGCAGCCTTACATCCCTAGAAATCAGTAACCAGATAATAATCCAAGATCAACAGAGATTTATTTCTTCTCTTTTACTTTTTGCAGGTTAATTAAGTCCACAAAAACGAAATCATCACAGCACTATATTTATATTGAAACTATACCGCGTACAGACACAATACACCTACTGACCCAATGACATATTTTTGTGTATATTGCAGAAGTTTATTTAACGGCACAGTAGAAGGCGCGTGCCACCAGGTGACCAATCACAATACAATTAGAATTCAGGTTAAAAAAGGTTAAAGTTGACAGATGATATTTGTAAACAATTTATTCTAGAAATTTTGATTTCAGTACATTCTTTCTTTAATATACAAAAGAAATTTGGTTGCGATTCATAATTCATATTTTTGAATGAATGTTGTCCTCTGTATACATGGTTTTATATATATTTAGGATTCTTTTTCTCGTGTTTATGTATTTGTATGCATACTGAGATTATCAAATAAACTTGGATAATAACCTCGTAAAAAAAAATAAATAAATAAATAAATATTCATATGATGCACTTATTTATTAAATAATGAAACTCAATACTAACCGTTGAAGAATTAACCAATTAACAGACTTCCCCGTAATTAATATGCTTTTTATTTATAATAATTCATGCTCAAATAAAATAATTTATGTTATTTCCCGTAATTAATAGGCTTTTACATGTTTATCTTTGATGAAAATAATATACCGGCCATGAACGAAGATCTCAACAACTTCTCCCCCAACATTTTATACAGGAACACAACTCGAGCACCCCAATTAACACCCTGTGGACCATCTTCAAGAAGAAGTGCTCAGACACCATCGATGAGTTTGTGCCATCTAAACTGACATCCACAAGATTCAATCAACCCTGGTGTAATAATTAATCGACTGATAAGTCTAGCTAGAAAGAAGAAAAAAGCCTAAAGGAAAGCCAGAAAATCAAAGAACCAGACAGACTGGGACATTTACAGGAGCATCCAGAAACAGAATCAACAAAAGTGCCGAGAAACGGAACGAGGAACGAGTATGTTAGGAACATGGTCAGTGAGCCTGGTAGCCATATTGACGCTACTGCAAAGAAGGCGGACACCACCACTGCCTTTCTACGCAGAAACGTATCACACTGTCCACAGAACATCAAGGCGACATGTTACAAAACACTGGTTAGACCTCAGCTCGAGTATGCTTCGTCAGTATGGGACCCACACACCAAGGCCAACATCAGTAAGCTCGAGAACTGCCAACGAAGAGCAGCCAGGTTCTGCACAGGTGATTATCGTTACACCAGCAGCGTTACTGCAATGATGGAAGCTCTAAGCTGGGACACTCTAGAAGCCCGCCGTCAGCAAACCAAAGCAGTGATGATGTACAGAGTCATTAACAGCCTGGTGGATATCCGAGCCCATCACATACTGATCCCTGCTGGAGTACACACCCGAGGCCATGCCAACAGGTACCTACAACCCTTTACCAGTGTCAACTCATACAAGTATTCGTTCTTTCCTTCTGGGATCCGACTTTGGAACAGCCTACCAGAAGTCGTGATGACAGCCCCGTCCCTAGAGGTCTTCAAGACGAGGATGGGTGCGCTGCACGAGTAACTCTGGAGCATGGTGTTTTTAACCTGTTTTTAGCTGCACTTGATGTTCCCTTCACTCATGTAAATAGTCACAATTGTGCGACGATGCTCCAGAGGGGCCCAGCACATTACCCGGAAGAAGAAGAAGAATTAAAAACAACAAAAATACATAATAAAAAAAACAATTAATTTGAAACGAAATACATTATAATTATACTAAAAAATTAACTTATATCAACACAGTTTTCATCTAGAAAGATTCAATAATGTTTAGAAGACCGCACTGGACGGGCCAGTAAATTATATAATTTACTATTCGCCGGTCTCTCTTAAATTCCGGTCAAAATAGACCGGGAGAGACCGGAGACCGGAAGCGACCGGACCGGAGAATAGTACATCCCAATGTTTTTGGCGCAGTATGGTAACGGTTTTTATCATTTCCGCAGACGCTTATCAATTTAATAACTGATCCGTATCAGTGCAAGGGCGATCAATGACCTTCACGGGGAAAGTTGAAAAAGGTTTTAAACAAGAAAAATATTACACACATTCGTATGTAATATAGGTACGATTGCATACTACTTTTTGTGAAGGCTTTACTGGGCAGGAACCAGTTTCCGGACAGAATTCGAGTTTTTTTAATTGTCTATTTTTTAATAATAAACATGCATTAATAAAACTAACATACCAAAAACCTGAGCTCTAACTACGTCCGATAACACAATTAATACTGCCTGGTGACGTAAGCAATGTACAAACTGAAGGGTTTAATTAGGTCATCAAAAGTGTAAATTGTTCACTCTTGCAGAACCAGTTTCCGGACATATATTAAGCTGCTGCTATTCATATCTGTTTTTAACTGATAATTAGTCTACTATAACAAAAAATTTCTTCTCACATATTAGCTTTCTTATATAATTAAGCTGATTTACTGAAAAATTGTTTATGATAGGAAAAATAACGATCACATGATTGGTCTTGGAATGACTGAAATATGAAACGGATATTTTTGTGTGTACGGCAGCAACGAAGTGCGAAAGTGTAGTAAACCTAGCTAAACACCGTTTTCCGATATGTTACAGATTTAGCTCTGGTTGCACCCAATGAACTTCAAATGAAGTACATTGTGCATTAATTGCTACCCCAAATTATATCCTGAAATAAAAAAAATATTGCGCATGCGCAGAACAAATTACATGCCCCAAAGGGATATAAGGCTGTTTTTAAAACACAGGTAAGATATCCTCATGAAATTTTAATGATGAATCAACTTGGAAGGATGTTTATTTTCTCAAACAATCAAACCAAGCATCTTCATGACATAATTAATACCGATCATCATTGATAAAGCCAAAATTAAGCCGTTATAATACTTGTCCGGAAACTGGTATTGTCCGGAAACTGGTTCCTGCCCAGTATGTTTGCTGAATTAAAGGTGTAATGTAAAATGAACAAACATGTCATGAGATATTTTATATCTTTAAACATTTTCATGGAAATTATGTAGATTCTCTAATTAATGTTGCATGCCTTCAGATGAGAAAAATGATTTCAAGGAAATCAAAATATGAAAAGAAAATTCACGGTCAATTGACTGCTTTGAAGCATAATCACAAAATAAAATTACAGGAAATTAAAAACCTTTTTAATAAACTTAAGGTAGAATTTCATTGTAAATAATAGTCAAAGATTTGAGATATGATTATTTATTCATATTAACATCATTATTGGTTACATATTGATAAAAAAAACCCCGAAAGACACAGTTTGTAAATATTTATTACAATAAAATATGAAAAAGGTATACGCGCCGAGGTTAGCTATAATTAAAATTCCCGCGCTAAGTCGCGGTGGTGCTTGGGGATAATCACTTGATACTGTAAATGGCAGCCATTTTACGATACGAATCCTCGGACAGTTTATCCTGCCGAAAAGATATGAAAAAATACTTGCAATTCTAAGTTTGCTGGCTACATAAAGATTATCGATTTACTCGTTGCACACTTTTTCTCTGCCTGAGTATAATAATATTGACGTGTTTTCATTGGCTTAAACCATCACGTTACCAATACACATGTAGGTGTGAACTAATTTCGTGTTCATCAAAATTATTCCGTTAATAGACATATAACAATCTTATTTACAAATGAATTGATGAAACAACAATCCCAGAAGCATTTAAGATAATAACAATCATTGGAAAAAAATAAATGCATATAAATTGTAAATTTGTGTATGACAACTCAACCCCCTAAACAAAACATAATAGACTCAACCAAAACAAGCGCCTGCTTCTTCACCTAACTATGTAGTTGCATGACCATGAATGATTAGCAATTTAGCAAACCAAATCTAAGAGATAAACCTATTGTAAAAATAATACTATGACCACAGCAGATTTCGTACAGAAAAATTGAGAAATTTTGTAACAAAAACTTGTATTTCATAACAAAGAAGTGAAGATGAATACAATTATCGGTGTGTTTCATTGAAACAGGTATTTTGTTAACTATTTATGAAGTATTAAGTCATGACATTCAGTATTTATGTAAATATAACCTCCCGTGTTACGATTTATAAAATTATACATGTACACATGTGTTATTGACCTCAATAAATGTAAGGGAAAATGGAACAATAATTATGGTAATTATCCATGCTGCTAGTAATACTTAATTATCTTTATCAAATTGTTTACTAAGCAAGAAAATTACGTAATTTTAAAATTACCTTAATTCAAAATAGAGCTCTAATATCAATTCAAACTTGAAAATCTTCTCAAAATCAGGGCTCCAGATAATTTTTTAGGGCAATGAGTATTTACTCATTGATTTTTTTGTGAATGAGTAAAACTTGAAATCTGAAATTTGACAGGAGTATTTTTACTCCTTAAAATGTATGTAAAAGAGTAAAAGATTTATTATGCTTCCATGTTTATTGTATTATGAATCCGGGTCAGCTCGGCCCTAAAACATACTCGGCCCCCGAGTCAGCTCGGCCCTATTCCAACTCGGCACGGGTCAACTCGGCCCACTTTTCAATTATTGATATTTAGGTTTGTGTTATAATATTTTATTGTAATTATTGTAAGTATTTATAATACACGAATTGACAGTTTCCGAACTAGCAGCAGACAGGCTTTTCTTATCAGTAGAATTGCGAGTAAAGATAACCGATTGCGTATCTCACTGTATTTCTGACTCACTTGTGGTAGGTTTAACCGTAAAGTTATCTCATGCATTCAAATTTGATACCACCTGCAAATTATTAGAAGCTTATGATATTAAGTAAAAACGTTTTTGTTTCATTTTTTTTAAATATTACTTTACAAACAAAATGCATCTAAGGAAACACATTTTTATTAGATCTATATTAATTTTATCGAATCTGCAAGACAAATAAATAACAATTTCTTTCTAAATGTACTTTATTTCGGCAGAAGTACAATTATATGATAATAAGATATTTTTTATTATTCAATTACCTTAACAACATGCAAAAAAAGTTAATACGTTATATATATTTTTGTAGAGTGGGCCGAGTTGACCTGTGCCGAGTTGACCCGTGCCGAGATGGTATAGGGCCGAGTTGACTCTTTTCCTTGTATTATTATACGTGTAATACAAGATATGTCAAAGTCATTTCTTTTGCTTTCTGGACTCTCTTGGTTTATAATCTTGCATTTCCAAACGGCATACGTTTTAGCTGAACCTGAGGCATGTTTCTGTTGCTCATACGTGGCAGCGCTATTATTTCATTAATTATAACCGTCGCAATTACTTTTGGGTCGATTTTTTTTCGGTTGAAAATACGAGTCAATCGTTTTAACTTTTGACAGCGACATTGTACCGGTTAATTCCACGACCTTACTATACATACGCTAACAACCGATGATAGTCGGAACTTCAGGAAGTTACCGTTAGACGTTGCAAAGCATTCATACGAAGTTAATTCCACCACCATACTATGCATACGATAACAACCGATGATGGTCGGAAATACAGGAAGTTACCAGTAGACGCTTGCAAAGCGTTCAGACGAATTTTGAAAATAAAATAATCACCGAGTTTACTTTCGGTTACGTTTACGCGAAAGAAATGTTGCTCAATGCGTAACCTGAATTTTGTGTGCGTTTTCATACGCTTAAATTTTGTTTTGAATGCGTAAACGGGTTATTTCCATGCGTAATTTACGCGTATACGCATCTTATAAGGAGCCCTGCAAAATGACTTCCCACAGTAATATTTGAAACATGAAAATGGTTCATGTAGAAAAGTAAGACAAGAAAAAACTGATTTGACTCATGAAAATTTTGGTCAAACAGTCTGCCACGTGAAATTCTGACCTTCCTGAGATCCCTGCTGTTTGTTGTTGTTTTTTTTAGAAAGGGGTGTTCTAATATGATAAACCACAGATGCTTGGGGGGTAGATCCTGCCCCCAACATGATACCCCTGAGTAAATGCTATCAAAAAAATATTTTAATATTTAAACACAAATGGGATATCTGTAAAATACTGGTTTTCGAAAAAAAATTACATATATGAAAGAAAAAAATACTGTTTACCATCATGTATCGAGACTTTATTTCGGGCAGGCAGGCCAATTGGTTGGGCCAGTTTTCGTAAATAACCAAGGTATATCGAGTGAAAATACAAGTTGTTTCGCTTATCTTCGTGTAAAATTGATATCTGTATTGCTAAAATAATACAAATTCAGCCATTTTTAAGCCGCTAGTTTGGGGCGAATAAATGTCCGATCTTAAAATTTATTACACCAATAAAAGCTTGTGATCTTAGCTTTGTCTCAGTATATATTTCAACACATTGTTTGACTAAAGGCATTTAAAAGTTTGGTTAAACCTACCACAAGTGAGACCATAAATGTAACATAATATGCTTTATACAGTGAGATATGCAACCAGTTATATTTACTAGCAATTCTATTGAAAAGAACATCCTGTTGTCTTCCAGTTTGGAAACTGTCAATCTGTGTATTATGAAATGTGCCAGTTTTTACATACCCCACCAGGGTAGACAGACGTTTCACTATTGAGACGGTTCACACCAAGACAGTTCACACCAAGACGTTTCACTCCCATTTGGGAGTGAAACGTCTTGAAGACGTTTCACTCCCTTTTTATACCAAAATTATTTTGATACTTATGATATACTAAACTAGACCTAAAATTTTGAATTGAATTAAATAGACCTTAAATTTAATAAAAAATAAATTAAAAAGGGGGGATTTCACTTTTTTGTCAAGTACTTTAAGTTCTATCATTTCAGTTATCTTATCTTCTTTATTGTTGTTTTGAAATAAGGTATTTTTCTATTCTTGGATCCAATTATTCCAATGCAATTATCACATTATTTCACTTAAAGAAAAAATATTTTTGATTAAAATAACACTTTAATATAACTTAACTATTTGATCTTTTGTAAACATGAACTCATTAGGCAATTTTAATTTAAAGCATAACAATCTTGTGACAACAATTAACTTTGAGTAACGTGTTTTTTGTTGGGATAAGAAATTGTTAATGTTAGTGAGTCTAGGTATTCGTA